TCTCTGTACAAAGTCATAATCTTCTTTCTATAATTTACTTACGCTGTTTATTCTGCTGTTTAGTGTGATACTAACTAAAAAACATTGATAAGTCTAGGTCAGTTGAACAGTGCAGTAAGTGTTTGGTAGGTTAAGAAGACCTGGTGTTAGAAGACAGGCAAGCAAATTCAATAAAGCCTATATTTGTGTTCAGTAGTGTAAGTTTAGCATTTCTGAAAATTCTCTGTAAAAGTTGAAGTAACGTCTGTTAGAAGTTTTGGATAACTTTTTTGGTCTTCAGATTTGTTTGCTGAAACTAAAAAGATTCAATGCCAGATGCATAAATCTAAAGGTTCTTTTGAAACTTTTAAAAGACTTGAAAATCTCTAAATGTATTTATTTTTGTTTTAATGTAGTTTTTTAAAAAAACACAATCAAATGTGTAAATCGAAGTGGTTAAAGTTTATTTTCAAAAAAAATCTGTTTTTTTATTGAATTGTCGTGCGGAAATACCGTAAAGCTTTCAAAAAAATGACCTTATATTAAATTAAGGTAAAGTAAAAACTTAATGTTCGTTAATCATTTAAAGCCCATAAGCTTTTCTGTAAAGCAAATAAGATTTTATTTGAAGGCATATATTAGCATATGGTACACCGGTGCCAGAACCGTAGAGAAATACCAGACTTGAATTGTTCAGTTCGTAGTGTGGAGGTTTGATTTCTCATTCTTGAATCAACGGCTCGACGCTTTGGTGCTCTGCTTGGATCCAAATTTGTTTATCTTGAAAAGCCAAAAGTGTTGCTTTTTTTTTTCGTTTGTTGTACTCTGCAATATGCATTTTTCTGCCTAAAAAATTGTTCACGACTAACTGCAAAGCACAGGTCGCTAAAAAAAACTTACAATAATAACAGAGCCGATCCGAACTTTCAGTAGTTTGTTGACCACTTTGTTTTAATGTTTTCCTCACCTCTTTTGGATTAACTAATCTATTTCACTTAGAGCTTTTTCTTTTTGCTATATGTTCAACGGGATGAGGAAACCGTAATTGTATTGTGAATGAACGGTGCAGTAGAATTTTTCTCTGTAGTTTTGATAAAAAACCGTTAGAATGAAACAAATGACAGTTTAAATTAGATTTTGGCTTTACTATTCAATTTGAATTTTTCTGTTCCTCGTCATATTAGTATTTGCCTGTTATATTTTCAGAACTGCCGTAATATGATAGAGCATATGTTGATGTTGTTATCCAAATATTTCTCTAGTAATCGATAATTATTGTAGCATTATTAAAATTACAGTAAAGCAGAGGAATTAACTTATTTTTACTGTCTTTCCATTTCTTTTAGAATACCCGAATTGCCGTCACAGTAAAAAGTCTGTATCAACCGGGATATTTCAGCACAATACAAAGAAGATATCATACAAAGATACAAAGAATTTTTATCATACAAAGAAGATAAACTTCTAAAAACTTCATAAAATAAAATCAATTGTCAGTTCTATTTTCTCATTTACCTTACAGTAACAAGACTTTCAATCGCGTAATTGATTGATTGAGTATTGGTTCAGAAATCAAGCTTAAACAATTTAATTTGAAAAAATAATTGACTTTCACTTTTTTAGACAAAACTTAAAATTTCTTCCTTTACTAAAAGCAATAAAAAAAGCAAAGAAGAGACAAATTAATTATGCATCATTCAGGGTAATTCGCTAAAATTTTTTTTGAATAGCTAAAACAATTCATACTGTTAAATAAAAAGTCGGAAGCAAAAGCAGTACTTATTATAAGCAGATGACCACCTTTTAAGGTTAGACTAGAACAGCAACGTTTATCTACGTTTATCTTTTTAATATCTTTACACTAACTAAACCAATCACTCACAGAAAAGTACCAACGCGATTGAACTGTAATTTAACACATACAGAAACCGCGTAAGCACTAAACTATGCAGAAACAGTATATAAATTAGTTGTAAGCTGCATGTAATAGTTGAATGACAGTTTTCGGTTGGCCAAGCTTTTGCTTCTGTAACAGCAAATATTCAATCCACCTTTATACCAGTCAACTTTTTGCTATTGACATACGTAGCAAATTAACTGATACAGCTTTTATTCATAATAAAAATACAATAAAATTAGTCGGCATAATATTTCTAGTAATCCGCAAAGTCAAGCTAAGCAACAAAAAAGCAAAGCAAAATAAATGCAGAAGTGAAATACTTTGTCAGTTTTAAAAAACGAGCATCAGTTAAGAGAAACAAGAGCAGAGTTTCTAGAAAAAGTTGGGTTCATCAATCTGTTGTTCAAACGCTAATCTCTACGTTTCCAAAAAATTGAAACACATTCAAAAATTAATAACCAATAAGTTGAGTTGCAAAAATAATTACAGGAAAACAACAGTGACAAAATGCAACCAAATATCGCACTAAAGCAGATGTAAATTGTTCACGATCATTTTCAAAACGTTTATAGAAGGCAATCGGCAATGTTAGTTGTAACAATGGTTTTTTTCTTCAATTAGTTTCTGAAAAAATGCAAATTTTTCATCAAGTTTTTCATTTTTTATCAAAATTTTCATCATTCATCAAATTTTTCATTTTTTATCAAAATTTTTGCTTAGCAAAAGTTCAAAGTTATAAGGTTGTAGCTGCGAAAGAACAGTTTTCATTCTTATAAACAGAAAATATTAGCGAGGAATCAAGAACTAAAAGACTGAAATCTTCAGAGATTTCAAACGAACACAAAGGGAAAGAAAAGTTGGTGGTTAACAATGTTGAACGATGCTAGTTGAATCTGCAGCAGAAATACTGTGCCTTAAGAAGAACCTACAAGAATGTAAGAAGAGTAAACACAACAGTAGTTCTCTAGTGTAAGAAGTAGTATTTTGTTCAGAACGGATATAATCGGCTAAACAATAATAGTATAGATTACCTTTATTCGTAAGATGCGTCTTGCAGCTAACCTACCAGATACATCCAAGTAAATAAAACACTCTTAAAACTAGTCTAGGTTATTTACAAGAAATAAGTAGTATTTAATATAAAACTTGGACTTGCCTATGGTCTAGTGACGCCAGCTTCTGCAAACTTAAACTGCCGAAAGTGGTTTGAAGAAATGATTACGTCGGTGACTGACCAACAGCTTTCCAAAAATAAAGTTTGAAGTCTATAAACAGTAGAATTGCAAAGAAAAAAACCACTTCTTTTGTCTTTTAAATTTCACTAACTTAGTTTGCCAATAGTTAAATTTGATCAACGAAAGAACTGTCGATTGACTCATGATATTAAATTAGTTTGGAAAATCTAGAACAAAGGTAATGCAGAAAACTGCAAATAATAAGTTTCTTTACAAAGCAGTATTATTCTTCTTTTTGCTAATTCTAAAAAACTTTTCTAAGTTGCACAAAGCTAGAGAGTTTTAGTTTTTTATAAAATATAACTATTGTAAATTTGTTACAGTTTAACAGACAATCCATTGAGACACAAATTTTGCTTTCAGAGAAGCATTCAAAGAATGTAATAATAAAGTATAGCGCTCAAACGGCAACAGATAATTCTCAATGATTTGCTGTATAAAACCGGTAAGCCACAATATCTTTTTTACAAAAATCAAGTGTTAAACATTTTTGCTGTCAGTAAAGTTGCATCAAAATTTGACTTTTTTTGAACGATAAGCTTTGCAAACACGTTGTAGCTGCTCTTGTAGATAAGTAGCTTCAGATG